TAATAATAATTACATTTTTGTATATTTTTTGTTTTATTTTGTTTTATTATTTCATTAAATTTATTTATTCTTATATTTTTCACTATAAAATTTATATTTTTACTATTGGTTTATTTTATTTATACTCTTATTATACTTATTTTTATCTTTAATTTTATTATTTTTAATCAATTATTTTTATATTTATTTTTTCTTTTTGTTATAATTTTTCTTTTTGTCTCTTAATTTCTTTATTATAATTATCTATAATTATATTTATACTATTATTTTCTTTCTTTATTATACTTCTTTTTACTCAAATACTTGCTTTTTTATCTTTAATTACTAAAATTATAACTAATTTTCTTTTGTATTTTCTTATTAATGAATCTATATAATTTCTTATTTATTTTTCAGTGTTTATACTTTTTTTATATTGTTAATATTATTTGTAAATCATGATATAATTTAAAATAGTCATTAATTATATAAAAGATTAAAAATATATAAAAGAAAAATCTCTTATTACTAAAAACTTTCATATTTTAATTCTTTGATTTAATAAAATAATAAAGTTCTAGTTTTTACTGATAATATTTTACTTGTAAATATACTATTATTTTTATGAATTATTTTCAATCTTGAAATTACAAGTAGTAGATACTTCTCTACTCTAAATAAGTTATCAATATTATTACTTTTGTTTAATTTAGTTTTATTACTTTTAGGTCATGTTAATAAGTTTTATTTAATTATTTTTTTTAGTTATTTTAATTTATATTTTATAATTAATAATCTAAATTATTTTTTTTAGTTATTTTAATTTATATTTTATAATTAATAATCTAAATAAGCTCAATTCTTATTTTATTTTATTAGATATTCTCAATAAGTTCTGTTATTTACTTTTTAATTATTTATTAATTTCTTTAATTTTTTTATATTTTCACTTTATTTTTCCATTTATTTTTATTTTTTATTGTTAATAATTAGTTAGTTTGTGCATGAACTATCATAAAAGATTTTTAGAATCTTTAGTGAACTCCATTAATCATAATTCATTCAGTCTTTATTTTTTACTATGTTACTTTGTTAATTTATTAATTTTAACAATTTTTAAATTAACAAGAACAATAAAAAAATATTAAAAAAATATTACTGTATCTAAAAATAATATATAATAATAATAATAAATGATAAAATGATAATAATATTAATAATTATATTTAAACTAATTTTTTTTAATTTTTTTATATATACTTAACTATATATATTATATATATTTCTATATTCTTAGTTGATAATTTTGATATTAATATAGTATTTTATTAATATAGTCATCCAATTAATTATTAATTAGTAATTAATAATTTATCTAATCAATTACTATAAAAAAAGATAAAATTAATTCTATTATATGTATAATATATATAATCTTGTAAATTTTCTAAATAGTTTTTTATAAATATTATAAATATTTTATAATATTATTTAAGTTGAATAATTATTTTAGTAAAAAAAAAGATAGTATTTTTTGAGAATAAATTTCAGTTTTTGATATTTTATTTAGTTATTTTTTGCTTGCTTATTTAATTTTTAAAGAGTTAATAAGCTAATATATATTTTAATAGTTTATAAATATATATTAAATTACAAATAGACAAAATTATTATAAAAATTTAGTATTATAAACTGAAAAAAATAATTTATTAATTTAAACTCATATTTTTTGGCATATTTTATTTATAAGTTTTAGCTAATTTTTGTATTTTTCTTTTTGATTATAATTCAAGTATATTTTATATAACTTTAAATTTGTGATAAATATATTATATTTTATAAAATATATAAATTTCTCAACTAAAATATATTTAACAAATTAAATTTTGAATTTACTTTTTAGTTAAAAAGTTTATAAATTTTATATTTAATAACTTTAGATGTTCTACACCATAAAAGAAACAAGCATAAATATTATTAAGTGATTTTTCTTTAAGTATATTCTGTATTTCTTATAATTCTTATATCTGTAATTTAGACTTCAACTAAATTACTATTTTTTTTAAGTTGTTATTAGTTTTTATATTAATAAAAGATATTAAATATATAAATATATTAATACTTTCACAATTTCTTCTGAATTGCTCAATTAATAATATTCACGATTTCTATTAGTATTTAGACTAACTTTTATTTATATTTTGGCAGTCTCTCTTGAATTATATAACTAGATTAAATATTTTTTATTTTCTTTAAAATCATAATAAGTTAATTAATATAAAGAATAATTAATTCAACAAAAAGAATAATAATTTTAATTAATTATGAATACAATGAATTACTTTTATAATAATTCATTCATTCTATAATATAGTACATGACATCTATAATCAGCAAAAAAACAAATACAATTTTTAAAGTTTTTTATGTAAAGAATTAAGATAATTAGAAAATATTTTTTTAATGTAAAAGATACAAAAGAATAAGAAAAATAAAATTACAAAAACCATTTGTTAATCGGTCAAGTTTTAATAAAGTTAAATCCTTTTAAAATTGGTTATTATTATTGATAAAGGTAAAATTTGGCCGTCTTAGATAATCACGCTCAAATGTTTTATGCTCGTTCACACTCGCTCCGTTTCCAAAAATAGCATACAGCAAGATAATTAAAAGCCGAACTGTCTTCAGATGCAGAGTTCCATGACCAAAATAATAATTATGTCCTAAATTTCTGCTAATTTTTGATATCACTCAAATCGTTGATAATGAACTAAAAGAAGGTATATATATAGCTCTTCATAACTAAGCCTAGGCTCATTGAGGAATGCTATTGATAAAATAATCAGTAAGTAATTCATTTCATGGATTATTGATTTATTCCTAAAGTTATCTCTTTAAATTCTTTATTTTCGAATGATAAAATTCGTCGAAAGATAGTTGATAATCCCTCGTGGAGTTTTGAATCATCAAATTTGTCATTTTCTTTGATATCCATGTCAGAAGCCAAAAATGTTGATAGATCTCGGTTTTTTCGTAAAACTTCCGTTGAAGTGTAAATCATTATTCATTGTTAATATTAATATTAACCGGAGTTTAACGTTCTATGAAACATAAACTGATGATATATGGGCATGATTAGCAAATGAATTCATCACAATGCGCATAATGGAAGTGTTAGTGCTTTGATAAAAGATCGTTCATTCAATGGATTTACAGCAAAATAAGACACCCAATTTATCACCATAAAATATCTGCAGTCAACAAAATATAATCGATTCAGCCGTGTTGAATTTTTGATATAAACCGCGATGAACTTTTCTACCGTGATGAATGTCACAGGAACCAATAATCCATTAATGGTAAATGACCATCCTAAAAACGCAATATTGATGATTTTTTAAAGTTATATGCAATTTAGAAATAATGCAAATTGTTTAAATTTTATTGATTTCGGAGACCTCACTTTCTTTCGATAACAAAGAATCTGAATGAGAGTTCTACCATTATATAATTTGTCAATCTTTAAAAAAGAATCAATGGCGCTTTTGTTCAGAATTAAATGCTGAATTATTGAACAATGGAAAATGGAGTTATTCTGTCTTACTTGGATAATAAAACCTAAACATCTTGCATTAGATGAAGAAAAATATTTATATTTTCAACTTTTGTTTACAATGAACTCTACGTATTCGGTAACATTTTATAAATTAGATAAATATTATATTCGGTCACTGCTAAAACCTTTACCGTTGGCGGAATTATTAATTAACATTAAAAATCACAGAAATGTTTACTTCTCTGAAATTTTTATGGTAACTGTAAATCGATCGGCTGAACACTTTTTCATAATACTCTAAAACCAGTTTCTTAATAAAGTTTTCGAGATATTAAAGGTTTTTACAAACGGTTCGGTTAGGGGTTGCCACTAAACAAAGCACAATAATTCGAAACTACATTATTAAATCAGTTTTTGCCCAATCTATATGATATAAAGTCTTATATATATTATAAAAAAAGTTATAATAAAAAACCGTCGGCCATTACTTTTCTGGGGGACTGTAAATAGATTCAAAAAAATAATCTTAACAACATTGCATCTATCTTGGTCTTATGTAATCACATATTGTATACTGTAATAACGATAATAGCCCTATAGTGATCATTAGCGTTAGCAACAACGTAACGTTCTTGTAGAATATTATTGGTGTGATTTGATTGTGTCCAAGCACATAACATATATACATGTATGAATTGAATTCATGTAACCATGATGAACTCTCGATATATCAGTAGTTATATATTACAGGTGTAGTTGGTGTGCTGCGCGCATACAGTCAAAGTCCTTTACAACGGCGCCATATAAGCAACATTGATGGCCCGATTTTCAACTATGCAAAAATGTCCCCATACACTATATACCGGTTCCGACGAAATGGAAATTTCCAATAATGTACAATACCCCCTCTAAGTCAAACAAATGCGCAACATGATCGAGAAAATAAGGTAAAATAAATATAAAAGACGGTACACAAGCTTAGGATGACCCAGAGGGCTGGAACGGTCCGATCTGTATCATTATTTGGGGGCAAGTGCTAGAAAATGAAAATGCAATGCATTGTCATTTCCTTCCTTTTTTCCCACTTATGTATTTCGTATATGTGATGTCATCATTATCGGAGCTCATAACAGCTAATTAGTAACGCCGCTATACAGTTATGATTTTTATCCATTAAATAACATAAATTTGATTTTTTTATTGAACCAGTTTTCAAAAGATTCTCGATAAACAGGATTTCTTGATTAAATCTCGTTATCTGATTTTGAAAAGATCCAAGACAATGGATTATCACGTGAATTATAGATAATTTGTATAGGTAAATTGTATTTTTTTTGTAATCTTGTTGTCTGATAATTTTTTAATTACTCATTTTCATCCCAAAAACAACCCACTTACACTATTTATTATTAATATATTAATATACTAAATATGATAATTTATACTATGTCAAAAAAAAAACTATTCAAAAACAATTATATACAGAGACTAATTTTTCGCCAATTTTTGGCACCTGATTCTCCTCTGATTTTCCAGTTGACATTACAAGATCATCAACTTTTCCGGTTGACTTTCTTGAATTAAATTTAAGACTTTTGGAATTTCTGATTTTTAGTGGTAGACTTCGTCGTCGATTTGATGATTTCTTTGATTGTTCATCAATAACATTTTGTTCATTATCGTCATTTACCACATCCTCTTTCTGTCTTTCCTCTTCCTCTTCCCCTTTATGTTTTTCTTCCATTAGCCAACATTTTGATGATAGCTTGCATACTCTGCATTCATCTTCTACGTGTAATTGGACAGCAATCGATTTGAATATCGTGTCAACTACTTCAGCACGTAACAGCAACGAATGCTTTCCACCTGGAATCAATGTTAATTTACATTGAGGCATTTCGTCTTTCATCCATTTAACTGCCGACACGGGAATCCGCTCATCTTTTGTGCCATGGAAAACGTGCACCGGATGATTTATGTCCGTATAAGAGAAACCAAAAGCATGACGTCGTTCGAAACACATCAATAGATCATTGTTAGCACCGGCAAGGTTTTCCGCAAAGGAAGCTTTTAGGATCGCGAGGCCTAGTCGTTGTTTCTTATCGAGGCTTGATAATGGAGATGCTAGTGCACCTGAACTTCGATGTGATGACGTTTTAGTAGCGTATGGTTGTCGACCGTAAAGCATTTGTTGTAATGATATTCCGGCGGTGTTTGTAAATTTCATAATTGGAGTTGGAACATATCGTAGCCATTTGAAATTATTGGCAACTGCTGTGCTCACCCAAGGACATACGAGGTAGACGGTACCTTGTAATCGTTCAGGCATTTTCAATGCACAAGCAAGTGCATAAGGTGCACCAGCACTATGTGCCATTATAAAGAATTTATTGATGCTCATTATATCACATAGTTCTTCAATTACCTCTACCAATCGCACGAGAATTTTCTCGGTGTGAATATCATCAAGTGTGACTTCAGAAATCAAAGATAAAAATAAACAATTAAATAATACCTGGCCATTTTAACACTTGCTGTTCCTCAACTTTCACATTATCGGATAGTCCCACACCCGGTCGATCAGGACAAATTAATCTTAGACCATAACTTGATGCGAGATCATCGAAAAAAGCAATAAAGTAACGTACACAACCCATCCCAAGAAATACGAATACAGGGAAACCATTACGATCTCCAACCTCAGAAAAACTTAATACACGGCCACTTTTTAGACGAACACGTTGAGTGAGACGAGGAGCAGCGAGAAAAGTTGTTATATCAAGAGGAGCTTCATACTCATCCTCATTTGTCGTATCAGATGAAGATATTGACGAGTTAGAAGGTGAAACTGAAGGAGTTGTTATTGAGCTTGAAGACACGATTGGGGAAGAAGCACGTGATGAAGGAGGTGATGATTCAGATATAAGATCGGAGGTAAGTGTTATTGTTGGTAAAAGTGGAGGAAGTTGAGGAGGTGATGATGATAATGTTGATGAGAACAACTCATCTTTAATCGAAGGTAAATCATTTTTGGATGAGGGATGAAAATTACGTAGTGTTGGAGTGGAAGGACATCTGCCTATATAAAGCGGCGTTGTGTTTGATCGATGTGATGTTGATTGATTTTCTATCGTTTGTTCACTATTTGTTGTGGATGTACTTTTCGGTGGATGACCAAAAGTGAGATTTGGAATAGAAGTGTCAGATTTTGGTCGACTTATATTTGGACTAGATTTTCTTAAGGGTAAAGAAAATTTCGACCTTATCGTTGAGGTCGGTGAATTATTAATATCATTATTTATTGTTTTTGAGGTTTTTCTTTTAACATGATTATTCATTGAGATAGAACGCTTCATTTTATCCGTTTGACCGACGTTATCATTATTGGAAGAAGAAAATAATTCTGTCATTGTCGTCGTCGTCGTCGTTGTTGTGGCAGTATTCGAAAAAGAAACGGCTGTAATCTCTGATACAACAGTTTCTGGATGAACATTCATTCTTTGATTGCCCAGTTTTATAATTACTGTATATAATCTTTTTATGTGTGTGTGTATATAGAAGATGTATCTATGGTACAAAAATCTGTCTAAATGAAGAAATATGAGGTGCGGACGGATTGATTTTATGTTGTTGATGGTTCGAGGAGAGGATATATCATATCAACACAATATTATCTTCTCGTATATATTTATCTATTATTTTAATATATTATTATTATTGTTGCTGTTGTGATTATTATTATTATTATTACTATGATTAGGTTTGTTCTACTTTTATGGAACTGAATAGGAGCAAATAATTTTCGTCTTTCGTCTTCCCCTATTTTTAAGCTATTAATACAGACTCTATGTGACTCTTGTTTTCGGGAATTGACGAAATCAAGATGAGTGAAAAGACCAGATTATAAATATGTATATATATATCGAAGACAAGAAGAGGAGCTTCAAGTAATATTTCAATAATAAAAAACAATAATAAAACAAATATACACGAAGAAGAGGGAAAAAAGGTGGATGAGGGGGGATAATATAACGAAAAAATAAAGAAGGAAGAGAGTTAGAAGTATTAATTAATTGATTGATAGTGTAGCAGTAAATAATTAGAAATAAAGTTACAATAGCTTATAATAAAAAAAGTGTATTATTAATTACGTAGCAGTAAATATACATATACACCAAAAAAGTTCGGTTTTAATTAATCGTTATTATTATTATAATAAAAATAATCTATAAAATAAAAATTCGAGAAACGGTGGAAAATGAAGATGATGGACGGAAGGGAGAAATGGGAAGAAGGGTGTGTTGATGAACAAGAAATTATCGATTGTAAATAAATTTTTTTTCTTTTTTGGTCAGGAAAAATATATGAGGAAACACGCTTTATATTTTTGCGTGTACACAACATTTATTCAGTATCCTGTGTGCACACACAGTCACTGTGATTAATGACCAAAGTGAGTAGAGTAATAGAGAGTAGAGAACAAAGATTGGAAAAGGAATAGTCTTATACATGTACATAAATACTCTACATACAAATGTATACAAAATTAATATATTATGTATACAATATTCATATATAATATGTTATGTATATAATGTTCAAATAAACGAGCTAAAAAAAATGGTTAGTGGTTTTTTCATTGATCTAAATATGGTAACACATACATCCTTGCAATACTCGGCCATTAATCTCAGATACTGTTCATCGAGTTAAGCACTGAAGATAACGTGGATTTGGAAGTAATACAAGAGAAGAAAGACGAGCATCGGATTTTGTTGTAGACATGCACAAGAAAATATTAAAAGGACCTCGAGAGTTTATCTCAGTTTTTTCGGAGCAAGTAAAAAGATTAGAAAAAAAAGAGTATTATATCATCATTTGCAGAAAGGTTACACGCAAGTCATAGTCAATACTGTTAATATGCTTTTTAACTCTTGTCTCCTGCATTTTTCACTTCTTAGAGATAACTATGCAGTATGTATATTATGTATGATGGTGGGAATAAAAAAATAAATACGTATGGAGCTTTGATTTTTTTTCGCAATGAAATAATGGAAAATAGTAGACATCGTATACCACAGACAAAAAATTTGGAGATTCGTTCATAAAACAAACAATCAATCATCATCCATTCAAGCAAAACATTGGAAAAATTCTAAATACATGTTTGACGACAAAAATAGCAACGAAAAACGGCATCTTTAGAATCTCTCCACTTTTTTTGGTCTATTACAATTACCGTAGTTGACGGAATTCAGGTTTTATCAGGTTCAGTATTGCATGAGCTAAATAATGCTAAATATCGAATAATTGGAAATATCAAACAAGAGAAATTTTCCCTTAAAAAAAATGCGCAAATTAAACGATGCATGAAACGAAGGGAAAAAATTCGTCGATTCTCACAATGCTGATATCATCCATCACCATCATCGCCATCATCGAGAATATAAGTATTTGCTTCCTGATGCTTATGATGCATCTTTCTTTTTACACATACACACATACATACTTGTGAATTATGTTCAGCGGAAAAAAAAGCAAGTATACGTGTTCGCTCAGACATTCAGACACTCAGACTCAGACGCTCAAACACTCGGACACCCATTCAATCTTTCTCATCGCGGATAATGCATCCACTCTCACTTAACAATGAGTGAATTAATTAATCAATCAATCAATCAATCATCAAACAACGGAAGTGTAAAAGAAATCGCCGATATAATAAAAACAGGAAAGTTTATAAAAAATTCTAAGCTATTCCTTTTTTTTACATTACGCATATGAATAAATAAACAGGTAAATAAAGTGGCAATAAAGTAAACAAATAAATAAAGTATGGTTAGTTTCTATTCACACTTATCAACGTGAGACGATCAAATTACTTGATTTTCACTGTTGTTTCTCGGTTATAGTTTTCTTTCTCTCATTCTCAATATTAAAATAATAATCATCAAAGTTCTGGTAGTCCTATCAATTCTGACGACGAATTAGTCATACATTCAACAAATTAAGTTTATTATTATGTATTGTCCTCACAGATCACAATAATGGATTTACCATTACTTAATTATGTGAAACAGTTTTGAAACAGAGTTTTGATTTAACTTTTCTGTTGATGATGTAGAAGAAAAAAATTTTGATGTCTACTTGTAGACGCTGAATACGTAGTGTATGTATACGTAGCATTAGTGAAAAAATCTTTGTGTAGCAATAAAATGATGAGCGCTGAAAATCAAATTATCAATAATTTATTCACTACGCGTCTTTATGTGTGCAATCTCCCGCTTCAGTCGTAAAGATATAGTAAATTATTAGCGAACGCACGGCTGCAATAATAACACCACACCACACCACACCAGTTACAATAATTATAAGAAAAGGATGAAATAAATATATAGATGATTGATGAAGATGACTATGATGATCGTATATATTTAGGAAAATGAAATAGGAGGAGGAAAAAGAAGAGATAAACAATAGTCTATCATAAAAGACTACTAAATAGAACACACTTAATCTGAATTTATAAATATGCGAAAATAATGAAAGTTTATACATACATACATACATACAATGAAGAAATTGCCAATACTTATTAATGTACATCATATCGCCAAGTGTCATATTTTAATATTCTACTATTATATTTCTTCTCTCTGTGTATCTTGACGATCAATAATCTTTTAAACCGCCTTGCGCTACATAATGAGCACCCGGTATAGGACCACCTAATTGATGATGTGTAGCATTTGAGGCTGATGGATATTGATGATGTAATTGCATATGAGCTGGTGATGCTCCTAATCCTGCTAATGTGCCTGCGGATAATCCGGCGGCACTACTCGAAGGCATACCTCCTAAACCCATTAAACCAGCCATATTCACACTTGACAGACCTTGTTGCGTAATTCCTTGCTGTTGTTGATGTAATCCTCCAGATGCTAAGGACGATACACCTGCCTGTGATGCAGCAACACCACCCATCCCACTTAGTCCACCCATCATTGGTGGCCTATCTTCCAACGATTCATACAGGTAATAAATCTCTTTTGTCTTTTCCCAATTGTTCGGATCAAAGAAGATGTAATTTCCACGTTCAAATGTTGGCGATTTCATAGCTGGTTCTGTTCCGGGTTCTTTTGTTAACCAAAGTTTGTACTCCCGATGATATCGCCAATTGCGATTATATCTTGACATTTATTGGTTTATTCCATCAAGAAATCCATAGGAAAAAGGGAAATAAATATTTTAATAATTAATAATAATTGGAAAATTAATGCTGAACTCAACTTACAATTCTTGAGCTGCAGCCTCCTGCAGTATATCTCTTGGCATACTATAAAAGATATAAAAAAGTGTTTCATCAGAAAAGGACGAGATTTTTGATTGAGCTGGTGGCGGCGGCTGTACATTGTAGCATGAAGGCAATTGATAATCAGGTTCAATCAAGCCGGCTATCTGATTATTATCTGCCCAAGGAGAAGTAAACGTTGTGTAAAGAGCACTGCTACTCAAAATAAAGTTATTTGTATAATTAAAAATTCGAATGCGAATAATTAACATCATCATTTCTCCAAAAATCTCTATTTTCTCAAATTTAAGATACTTACTCTGGCGAATTCAAATTCAGACCTAATGTTGCCAGGTCACTTCCTAAAGCCAACATACTCAGATCCGGGTCAGTCATCCTTATTACACTTAGGAGACCCATGAGACCATATGAATCTCCTGACGCTGAGGTTATACTTGATGTTGAAGGCGATTGATTTATCGTCGAAGAATTGGAAGAATGCAAATTCGCAGATATACCACTACTTGTAGAGTAAGGAGGTACACCCACTAATGTTGATGTCGTTGAATAAGGAGTTGATCCTCGCAGTGTATCAGCAAGGGAATACGGATTAAGAGATGAGGATATAGAAGAGAGCGTTTGTTGTTGTTGCTGCTGTTGTTGAACATGTAGACTATTTCCAGTTTTTGTTGCATAATTCTGGGTATTGAACAAATTCCCAGATCCAAAAATTACATGTTAATTAACGAGTAAGAATAAGAATAATAATAAATATAATAGCAATAAAGTAATGTATATAATAAGATAATCAATTATGATTCAAATTATTATTATGGAATTTGAATATAATGTTATATTCTTTCTATTCAATTTTTTTCAATTAAACCAACCTTTTTGTCCTGTTCGGACATTGAATTTATCTGCGGTTGTACCGTTGTTCTTATCCCACCTGAACACGACAAAGGGTTAATTCTCATTGATTGTGTTCACTCAACCAATAAAATTTCGAACACAAATATAACCACCACCAACTATACACGTCAGTAATGCCGGCATTGCATTACGTACCAAGTCCTAACCGACCATCTTGTATCGATGAAGATGACAAACCAGGTGTCATATTACTCGAATTATTCAATGCATCCAAATTACTTGATTGCTGGTGCTGTTGTAGATGATGTTGATGATGCTGTTGCTGTGACAAAGAAGGTGGTTGCGTTCCAACAATACCTCGATTACCACCATTACTTGTGGCACCAGGTAATGCTGGGAAATCATCAATCGTAAATTCTTGAGCTTGTTGTGGCTGATGATGAAGTGAACGGCCATCATTTGGTCCATTTACAACAGTTGATGTCCCAGCTGTCGTCGCATAGCTCGAGCCGAGTCCACTAGTTGATGAATTATTGGCCGTTGTATTTGAACTGCCCAATGCTGGGAATTCAGACATATCTAATATATCATTTGGGGGTTGAGAATGAACATTATGCAATGCACTCGGATACCCTGTAAAAGGTTGCTGCCGCGTTGTCAGGTTTTGTGATGTTAACGCCGAACCTGGCGTATAATTCCATGATGGGACATTTGACGCTAATAAATATGTAGACGTGGACAAAACGCATAGCGAATAAAGAGTAAGATCATAAGTTTGTAGATCGTATTTTCTTTGTCTTCACGAGAGTCAAAATAACACTATTGTAATATACCTATCCTCCCGTTAGTTCGTGGCATCAAAGGAGTACCTCCTACAGTACGTTGAGCCATTGAATTTGTAGGATAAGGTGAGTTAATGGGTCCAGGTCGACTAGCTTGTTGCGGCGGGTTTACTACTACTCGAATTAACATGCAGAATTCCATTTTAGATTTATTTAGATCGACCACTTAAAATAAATTCACTCGAGAGTCTTGCTTTGAACGGTAAACTCACCCGTCATACCTGACCGATTAATCAAGCTTCCACCAGGCTGGGGAACGTACCGGTTTTGATTGTTTATTGGTTTTACGATGTTGCTATTCACGGGCATTTGAGTATTACGTCTTTTTGAAATTCAGTGAGAAAAAGACTATTTTCAGCGAAAAGCTGCCACTTGTTTACTTTAACTATTGAAAAAGTTTGGACTTTGTGTCACTTTGGTGGCTTTTCACTTTGAATTGTTGATCACGTGGATTATCATACATAGTTCCCACGCATGATCGTGCGGATATTATTAATGCTAAATGCTCTAAATAATTTCATATTTTGCACTAATTGATTTTTTTGGTCAATGAATCGATTTATTAAAGTTCTAGGTGAATGTTTACTCTTATTCGCGATAATATATAGATACATTGATTTGTGGCTTTTGTTTTATAAGTTTGTAAAGAATTTGATCCAATTTTTTCATTGTTTCAACTATAAAAAAATTAAAATAATGAATATTCTTTAAATAAAAGATATTGCAAGACTCATTAAAAATGGCTTGCTGATAATAAAGTTGGTTTTTCAATTAATTATTTATGCAATAATATCTAAAAGTCTTTCAAGATAATTAATAAAATTACCAGTAATATGAAATAAAAATAATTAATAAAACTATTAATAATATGAAATAAAAATAATTAATAAAACTAATAATAATATAAAATAAAAAGGATTAATAAATCTATTAATAATATAAAATAAAAATAATATTAATATGTGCAACAACTTGACGTCAAAAAAAATATTTGATATATTAAAAATTTAATAAATATATAAATAATATCTAATAAATTAATATTTACTATTTTAAGTAATCAAAATATAATAAAAATTCTATTATTATTAAAATATAGTAAAAATTGAAATTTATTTTTAATTTTTATTATATTTTATTATACTTTTGGAATTTACTATAGAAATATATTAAATAAAAAAATATATTTTATATTAAAAATTTTATTTTTTTATTATGCTTTTTTTTAGTAATTTATTATTATAATATATATAATAACTTTCAAAATTATGAAATCATATATACAATCTAATTAATAAAAATTAAAATTTTTGTCTTTAATTTTATTAATAAATATTTTTTATTATCATGTCAAAACAAAGTTTATAAGTTATAGTTAATATATATTTTTTCTGAATTTTTTTTGCAATAACTTTGTAATTAAAATAATTTTATCAGAAAAAATCTAACTTTATTTTAATATAATAATAATAAATATTTATTAATAAAATTAAAATTTTTATATAAAACAAAAATTTTTATTTTTATTAATAAAATTATATATATAATTTTATAATTTTGAAAGTTATTATATTTTAATAGGCGATTTTGAAAAGAATTTATAAAAATATATTTTTAATTTTAAAAAAATTTTTCAATTTATTTTTATTTAATAAATATTATTTAGAAAAGATTTTATTTTATTAAAAAATTTATAAAAATAATATCTTTTTTAAATAATATTTATTAAATAAAAATAACTGAAAATTTTTTAAAGTTAAAAATATATTTTTTATATTAAAAATATATCTTTATAAAATTCTTTTTAGAATTGCTTATTAAAAATATTTTCAAATAATTTTTTATTTTTACAAATTTTAATTTATTACTTTTAATATCAAATTTTATAAAATATATTAATATATTTTATAATATTTAAAAATTATATTTTTTATATTTTAATATAAAAGTTTTTAATTTTATTAAGAAATATTTTTTATTTTTATATTAAAACAAAGATTATATATTATATATTTTTTCTGGATTTTTTTCTAATAAAATTGTTCTAATTACAAAATTATTACAAAAATTTTTTATAATTAAAATGTAAATTAATATAAAAAATTTTCACAATAACTTTAAAATAACTTTGTTAAAAAAATCTAAAAAATTAAAAAAATATGTGATTAATAAAATTAAAAACTTTTATATAAGAAAAAAATTTAATTTTTATTATATTTTATAATTTTATTAGTTAATTAATTTTTTATATATTTTAATTATAAAAAATTAATTAATTTGTTTTATAATTAGAAAAACTTTCTTAGTTTAAATATAAAAATCTGAAAAAAATATATATTAAAATATAAATTATTATTTATAACTTTTGTATAAAATAAAAAATTAATTAATAAAATCAAATTTTTTATATAAAAAAAAATTTATTTTGAAAAAATATTACTCTTATTTCTTGAATATGTTATTAGCAAAAATGAAATTTAACTTAATTTAACAAAAATCTTAGCAATTCAAAATTTTTTGAAATCAAATAATTTAAAAGTATTAAGAGATTTTCTTGAATTTGTTTTTTATTACTGATAATTCATAAAAGATTTGCAAAAATTGCTATCTATTACATTATTTAATGTAAAAAAATAACTATTTTATTAAAATAATAAATATTAACAAGCTTTTAAATATCTAAAACAAAAATTAATCTTACCATCAATATTAATATATTCAGATTTTGACAAATTATTTATATTATTTATTGATACTTTTAGTTTTGAAATTGATACTATTTTAGCTCAAAAAAATAATAATAAAATAGAACATATAGTTGTATATACTAGTAAAAGAAATAATCAAAATAAAAAAAATTATTATGTAACTAAATTAAAATATTTAGTTATTATATGAACTATTTAATAATTTAAATTATATCTATAATTCAATATTTTATTTATGATAATTAATAATTATAATATATTAAAAGATTTAGTTAACAAATCATAATTATCGATAAATTTATATAATAAATAATTAATAATATTATAAAATTATAATTATAATAATATATAAGATTATACTATAGTAAATTTAAATAAAATTATAATTATAATATTAATTACTTATATACAAATATTGATTCACTTTTACAATATTTTCAATAAGAATCTATTTAAATTAATTATATTCAAATAACTAAAAGATTATAATTCTTATAAATAACTAGAGAATTAACTTTGAATAAATCTAACTAAGGATGCTTGTCTAAATCCTTTCAGAAAAATATCGTCATAATTTTGACAGGTTACACACTAATTGTTAATTAGAATTTTGACATAATTTCGGTTACGACGGGTTTCAAAATTCGTCAGAATTTCGACGGGTTATTTACTAATAGTTTATTATAATTTCGACAGAATTTAGACAGTCACTAAGAGATTTTGGCAAGTAACCTTAAATCTAACTAAAAACAATAAATTTAATTAAATATTATTAACTTGTTAATTATTTGAATATCTTATAATTATCAGAAAATTTAAATTTGAAAAAATAATATAAATTAAAAAATAAAGTTGTAATTACTTTGTTAATAATAAAATATTATTTTGTTAAAATAATAAGATAAAAATATTTTACTTAAAGTAATTAGATCTATGAAAGTAAAAAAAGTATTATTTAATAGCTTATTCTAAATATTTTTGAATCAAAATAATATATAATATAATTGTACAAAATTACTATTAATCAAAAATATATTAAGATATTAAAAATTATATAAAAGCTTATAATATATATCAATAAAAAGGTAAAATAAAGAAAAATATCCAATTACCTTTTGAGAAGATTGAAATAGATCTAATTGAATTACTATTAATTATCAATAATTAAAATAAATATATTATAATAGCTATTAATTATAATACTAAATGAACTAAAGTCAAAATAATAAAAGATATTGTAATAATAATAATTGTATTATTTTTATATAAAGATATCATTTGTTAACATAATTTTTCAAAAAAATTAATATCTGATTAAGATATCACTTTTACAAATAATTTAATTAAAATATTATATTAAAACTATCAAATAAAATACTATTATATTAAACACAAATAAATAAATTAGTTGAAAGATTAAATAGAATTTTATGTAAATTAATAGCAAAATTTGTTCGATTATATAAAAATAAATAAAATTTTTAATATTATTTGCATATTGTTATTCCAATTTTTTTAATAGTATTTATATAGTAGAAGATTTTTAAATAAATCACTTTTTATAGTTATAAAAAGAATTAATAGATTAAGTTTATTTTTAAGAAAATTATACATTATAAATATGATAAGTTCAAGATAGTTTTATTAACAAAGCTTCTTTATTATTATACTTTTTACTATTATTATCTCAATTAATGCTTTACACATAGACTATACAAGTATATAATATAAAAATAATAATAATAATATTACTAGACTATTCCAAGTTTATAATCAAAATTAAAGAGTAATTATAAGGTATTTAATAAATAGACTTATTATTAACTTTTAATTAAAAACTTCTTATTAAACTTGTTATTAAACTTATTATTTTTATTATCAAGTGAAGTGTTACTTATATAAAATTAATTGTTGCAAAAATCTCTAAATTTCTGTAATACTAAACTAATAAAAATTCTATATTTCAACAGATTAATAGTTCAAAATATCAAAAATTTAATATTTTTAAAGATTAATAATTTCAATAATCAATAGTTCAAGTTATCAAAAATTTAATATATTTATTATATTGATATACAATATACAAATAAATAATAAGCCAAAAATAAATAACAAATAAAAATATAAATAAATATAGTTCAATAAAATATATTATACAAAATATTCAATAAGAATAAACTAATTAATTGTTCAATAAAATATAACAAATAAAATATATTATAATAAAATTAAATAATATAATAAAGTACAATAAATTTTTATTATTTTATTTAACCTATAGATAACAAGTTTTAATTTTATTAAATTTTAAGTTACAACTAATAAAAAATCAAAAAATAATAACAAATAAAATTATAAAAAAATTTGTACAATAATAGATAAATTAAAAATTAACTAAATATTAACTTAACAAAATATTTAAAAATCTTAATAAAAATAAAAGAAATCTTATTAACAAGACAAATATTTACAAAATTTCTTTATTAAAGATAAAGTTTTAATAAAGAGAATAAAAATACAATATTGATATTATGAAAAATTTTTACAAAAATAAAAAATATATTTTATATTTACAAAAAATTTAATAAAGGTACTTATTAA